TAATTATTGTTTATAAGTCTTTGATGTTTCTGATGAGCAGTACACTAAGACACTACTCTACATACTGCCTAGAAAGTGCAAGCATGATTGGATATAGATAGGGAGATTGAAGGGCAGTCCTGTGTGGCTGGATTTGGGAGGAGAAGGGTATGTTGGCTGTCATCAAAATACACCAAATGTGGAATTCAACTAATTTTACTGCAAAAGCAACATTGCTATTCTTCAGCCATCTTGGGAACTAAGTGCTTTAAATGTTCTTCAGCTTTTAAAATAGTATAGCTTCATTTCTTATTGAAAACCATTGAGCTAAGTGAAACTTGTTTGTTAGTTTGTCTGGCAAGAGCTGTAGAATTTGAGTTTCACACTGTTGGTTTAAGCGGGAAATGCTGAGCATTGGTAGAAGGAAGTTACACACTAGCAAAGATGCTTATGTTATATGAGTAACTTCAAAATTCAGAAGCTGATTCCACTTGTAGCACCTTAGCTTTACAATTTAACAAAACGTTATTGCTTGCTTGTGTATGTAGATCTTTATGGATAAATATGCTGTCTAAAAGTTTATAGTGTAAATCAGATCTGCATTTGTTGCCTTTGTCTGGGTTTTATGCTCTTAATTGCTTCAGGACACATTCTGTGTCTGTGTAGCTCACTGCAGTGGATTTACTGGATCACTGGTACTGCTTAAGTTGCAAAACTTAATTGCAAAAATACTGCTAAACCAACTGGTCAGCAGAAGATATGAGTCATGTTGACCTGAGTAGGAGATGGCCATGAATAATAGCTTTTGCTAGAAGCAAACAAAAATAGGTGGAGAGAGGCCATCTGGCCCTGCACGGCTGTCATGACTGCGGACTCCTGCTGACACGTACCTGCCTCACTGGTGCTCTGAGACACCTCAGCTGGGCAGGTGCAGTGCTGGAGCCAAGGGCAGATAGGTACCGAGAGGAGTATGAAGCAGCAGCACAGAGGACTGCAAAACCAGACAAGAATCCAGACTTTATTTACACATGTCTAATCCGATTTATGCTGCCTTATCTGTGCTTGCAATGCTCTGCATAGCATTAAGTTCTTTGCCAAGTTCATACAATGAAATTAATTATCACTCTATCAGTATCACCCCTCTAAATTAATTTGCTGGTTTTCACAATTGGAACACTGAATAATTTACATTTCCCCCTTACTCTTCACTAATTGCATAGCTGCTTGTTGCTGAATTCATTTGTCTTCATCTGTCCATGTGTTTTTCCTCTTTCTTTTGTACATATACTGTAACTCCGTGGCACTTATACAAGAACATAAATACTTACCCTGAAGAAACAACTGGTGCTGTAACTCTGCCCATAAGTGTCATGGTCTTCTCTTTCCTCTAACACTTCTTTCCCATCCCAGTGAAGCCTGTGGATCATTTGATAGTTGAGCAATGTGGTGTGAATGACCTGGAACTTGATGTAAAACTTAATCTGCATGCAATTATGAAAAAAAAATGGGTAAGGTCAGCCAGATAAATAACACAGTGCTGACCTTATTTTAAAAATTATTTTGCTTAAGGAGATGACAGATCATTTTGGTCTTTATGTAATAACCAGAATTCAGCTTTTGTGTTAACAATAGGAATGCTAAGCTTTTATTTTCCCAGAGGTACTTAAAAAACTTCTACATACTTACAAAAATAGGATGAGATCAAGTTATAGAAATCTAAGCCAGGATTTTGTCATGGTTTTATTTTTGCCTCCAGTCTTTAAATACTTCTAATAAAGTATATATTTTAAAGTATGAACTAAAAGCCTAGAGTTCACATTGCTCTGTTTGGAGCTGGGAGAGGCTTGTACACTCCCATACATTTTTTTAAGTACAGGAAACACCTAACTTTTTTTATTGAAAATCAGTTTTATAAGGAAGAACAAATGAAAAGACCATTCTTCAAGCAACTTTAGCTTCCATTACATGTACCTTTTAGGAAAAATAGTCTTAATACACTCTTTAGGGCTTGTAGAAAACTTCGCTTGTCTTATGGAATGATTAAAAATCACTCTGTATTTGTTTCTGAATAGCTCGTCTTTTTTGGTAATTCCTTTCTCTTTCAGGCTCCCAGATTGACATATATTTATTACTTGAATGAGTAATGTAATAACATTCTTTCTAGGGGGAAGTGCTGTAGTTCTGCCTCCTGTATAAGTAGCAGTAATGCTACTTATAAATAGTTTAAAATAGTTGTAGTTTTGCCCTTTTAGCAATGTTGTTGAAACAAGGATAAAAGTAGTGATGATATTAAAAATACTTATTTCATTATGTTGTATGTGCCAAAGAATAGACAAACTACAGTTCTCCCTCTTGGTTTAATACATCTCTTTTTAGTGTGTTTTCAGTGAAATGTGATTTTTCTCTTTTAGCTGGCTAGCATCTGTGCTACATTTTTTTTTTTTTAACCATACTATTTAAGTTCATATACTGATGAAACTTGAATCTCTCCTACCCTCTAAGGATTTATAAAATACAAAGGTGACTTTCCCATTTTTCTGGATTGCTTATTCCTTTGTACTGAGGGTTTTTTTAAGGTATAGTAGACAAATTTGTGGGTTTTTTCTTTTCTGATGTCAATAGCTCTTGAAAAGGGGATATGTATGGATTTCTCTTCTCTCAAATCTTTCTTCTTTTTTTTTTTTCCAAACTATTGCATTAGGAGGCACTGCTGAATGGAAAAGACCAGGCCTACCACAATGAGATAAAATGTCATTTTAGTGCTTTATATACAAAAATTACTCCATGTTGGTTTTGCTTTGTTATCACAGTTTGGGGCACTGGTGTGTGATTAAGCTGCTTCTGCAGACTGCTGGCACTTTTGGTCCCTCCTCTTGATCCTAGTCAGGGGCTGCAGCCCAAGAAAATAAAAATGCAACACACAGATCAAAGCAAGAGGGAAAGGGAAAAGGACAGAGCGTTCTTGCCACAGCCAGATTGTAGCAACATAAGAGCAAAGCACTCACTGATTGACATATCTGCTATCAGAGTGGAGAAGGAATATGTGCTGTATTCCAGGTATGAACCCAAGGCTGAAAAGATTCTAGAAGTAATGGTGCAAGATTAAGTGATATATTTTATTTATTTATTTTCTCTTCCTCCTTTTTAATTGGACAAATAGCAAGATAGAATTAGTTCAAAGTACCTACATCACATGAAGGCAGTTTCTCAGAGAAGGGAAGGCTCAGGTGACATTTGGAAGAATGCTTGTCTCCAGAGGAAGGGCATAAAGATCGTGATGTAAGCGAGAAGTTCTTGAGCCATCTCTGGGATGGCTGTTCTGAGACTTTCTACCTTCTTCAGATCCCCATTGGGGAAGCATTCTAGGAAAGAAAACTTTTTTTTTTTAATTTTCTTAAATGGATTGAGTCTTCCTGTATATCAGCCTTCTTGTATCGAGGCTGATGTGACTGATAGAAGTTTATAAACTTAGCTGTGAAGTAAGACCTCATTATATAGTCTTTCCACTTGGTTTTATTACATAAGCAAATGAAAAGCATATGGATAAGCCTACAGAAATTATTAAAAAGTGCCTACCATCCCGTGATCTGAAAATGAGGAGAAGGAGTATTACTACTATTTATTAGAACAGTGGCCAAGAAAGCGGTGGTGAGCAGAGGACTGGATTTACTTGGAGCAGGCAATTGGGTGTGACGAACATAAAAACCAGTGGTATGTTTGTACACTTTCTGCAAAGGTCTAATCAGCTGGAGTGAGAAAAACTTATAGGACAAGACATGAAGCTTGGCATTAAAGAAATATGTAGAATAATCCACAGGAATGGGAGTAAAGTGTATGCAGGTTAGAAAAGGGAAAAAAAGCAGGGAAGCATTCAATATTTGGCACAATCTGCTGGAAAATCAAATAACCTTAAACTTTTTTTAAAAGAAATCACTTTGAAGAAGAATTGGGAAAAGACTATTTTTATACATTAAAAGTCTACAGTAGTCCTTAGGCTCATAATTGAGAATAGGTGAAGACCTCTCATTTTACAAGTGGGAAATAGTGGGTATTGTCAAGGCTGACAAGATTGGTTTTGCCTGAGATTAGCTTCCCAGGCACAGCCTGGAAATCACTACTAATAATGGTGACAAGGTAGTAGATTTCTTTACCAGTCTCTACATTAACAAAGCACAGACTTGCAGAGCCACTGATGATGTTTTAGGAGAGTTGCTTGAAGAAAATGACTGTATTTTTCATGAATAACTCACAGATTACCTGTTTAAAAATGGAGAGAGGGCACTGGAAATTACATAAAGTGCTGGTTATCTCCACTCACCTTTAATTTTGTGTATTTTATGTTAAAACTTATTTTCCTTAAGTAGTAATGACGAGCTTTATGGATGGATTGATTCAAGTTGGTATACAGTCACATGTACATAAATAAAAATATTTATGTAATCTATGTTTGTAACTTCAGAAGAGCAGTATCAGTTTTACTAAGAAATTGCTAGGGATTTGAAGAGCTTTAAAATTTACATATGGGACATATCGCTGGTTTGATCAATCAGAAATTTCAGAAGGCATGCCTCAAACAGGAGGAGTGAATGGGAACGTAGTGAAAGACTTTAAACTTTGTTGAATGATACAAGCAAGGTAAAAAGGAAATCAGGGGCTAAATCAGAACTTGAAATGGGGGAAAAGTGCTAATCAACAGAGATAGATATATCTTAGGGGTTTTGATCTTAAGAACAGACTTAGCAAAAGTGTATTGAAGTGAACTAGAAAATATTTATGTAATCATACAGATACTTGTATCCATAAGCACATTTACAGTGAAGTCTCTGTAATAGTGGGATTGACTGATGGAACTTTCATTGTCATAGCAAATTCTTGCTTTGTGTTCAGAAACTTTTCGTTTAAATCTTGTAACTGGAAATAGTAAAAGCATAAATTATCTATAATGTCATGTGTTTATCTATCTGCAAAGTGCATTCAAATGCCTAACATGATCTTTCTTTTTCCCCCTCCTCCTGTTCTAGGAATTGGCTCTCCGTAGCCAGCTTCCAACAATGGAACAAGACGGTGGATCTCAAAATCCCGTGTCATCTCCTGGAATGTCTCAGGAACTGAGAACAATGACTACAAATAGTTCTGATCCGTTTCTTAACAGGTTTGTAGAAGTAGCTACTAGAGGGGAAAAAAAGAAATTTAAAATTCTGTTTGGTACATGTAATAGTTTATTTTGAACATCTGTCTGTGCCAAAAGCCACAGCTGTAAATGAATCTTTCCTTAAATGGCAAGTCCAGTAAAAGTTGAAGATTAAAAGCTGTCTCCTGTGGGAGGAAGTAGTCTGTTCAGACTTGTAGGAAGGTTTTTTTATTCAAAGTCATAACATGTTTGCCTCTGCATAATCTGTTGACTAACAGTCATTTCAAATTACTGACTCAGAAGAATTTGTGAATAACTTGCTGTGAGATCAAATGAACTGTGAGGCACATTTAGGACTACACCTTGAGGTTCATTTTAAGGTTTCTCTATTCACCCCTCCCCTCCAGTTCAGGTATTTAATTTAGCAGTTTTTACTCTGTTAATGTTAGGTCTGCAAATAGTGGCATGTTTCATTTTAAATACTGTATTATTTTGAAGTGGGTCTTTTAAATCAAGATTTAGAATTTTACAATATAGTCTTTTTCTTAATTTTTCCCTAATCTCTCTGAGTTGGAGTGTTTGTTTTGTTGGAGCTACTGTTTTAATTACAACTTGCATATGCTTCATACTAACCCTTACAACTTTGTATAAGCTGCTGCGGCTTGAGATAAGTCGTGTCTGTTTTTTGCTTAGCATGTTAGAAAGAAAATATGGAAATGGTAAAACAGTCTAATCTCCAAGCCACATGAACTTTTAATGAAGTAAAAATCTACTAACATTTCAGCAGTATCAAGTAGTTGATCTTAAGTTGGCGTAGTTAATTTTGTAGTTTTTCATGGGAATATATTTTGTCAGCAATCTAAACTGATAGCAACTCAGTATCCCCTACCATAAAAGTGAAAAATAATGTATTCTATAAGAGTTCATCACTACTTTTCTGCATTTTCTTGAAATGTTAGCTTAACTTTAGGATGCTTACTGTAAGTGCTCATGAAGCATGCTCATCTTTAATGGTACGTTATTATACTCATGGAAAACCTCATAAAATTAATCTTGATTTTGTCAGTCTAAGTCTTAACTTCCATATTTTTTGCCACTGATACAGTTTCAAACCTGCTCACAAGGTAAGAAGTCCACATAATGTTAGAACTGTCATGATTTTGGAGTAAGGCAAGCTTAAATATTTGCCGTAATTTCAGATACTGAAAACTTAAAATCTTTGTAAACCTCTGCTGCAATTATAAATCCTTTCCCATATTCTTTTAAATAACTTAATGTTGCTGATCTTTCACACTTAGGTTCTTCATCCCTAAAGATGTACTGTCATTGTATGTAACTTTTCCAACTATTGATATTCCATCAGCTTAGTTTGTTTCATTTTCTGCCTTTCCAGGAGACTTCTTCATCATTTCATACATTCTATCCTCACTCGAATTCTCAAAATTAGTAAAGTTCAGTAGCAATGGTGCAAGTACATAGCCTTCATCTTGCCAGTGGAATCTGCTGTCATTCATATAGTTTAGGTTATGTAAATAACATTAGTTGTTCTTAAGCTTTTTCTGCTACTGCATGACGTATTGAGTGCTACTGTGAGAGTGGGAGAAAAGTTTCTCAAGGTACACAGTGCTTTGTATACATTGGAGAAAACCAAGTGAAAAAAAAGGCCTTGTACGTGAAGAAGAAAGTAGTGGTGTTTTGTTATTAAACTCCCTAAGGAACTAAGCGGTATTCCAAGTTTTGGGTAAGCCCTTCAGGAAGACTTATCTCGTACACAGACAAATCTGATTAGAAAACTTAATATTTTGTTAGAGGAGGGGTTGTCCTCTATGGAATTGATCCTGGGATCTGGTATGAGCCTTAACTGTGCTGGCCGTGTTCTAAGGAATAAAAAGGACAAGAAATCTTAAAACGGGTCTGCTGTCCTGTAAGAAGCCTCTATAGATAAATGATGGCTTTAATGTGTTATAGTGACATACTAGATTGAGTTTTTGGAAAGCTGTTACCCTCATACATTGATCCCAGGTATATTTTGAAATGATGTAGAAACCTCATATCTTCAAAACCTGTTTTCTGACCTGAAACGCACGTGTGTTCAGGTTTCAAATGGCCATGGCAGTGAACTATTGCAATTTATCTGTTGTGATTCTACACACATGAAATATAAAATGATGGATCTTTACCTTTAATTAGAAACAGGAAAAAAGCTGGAAAGGGCAAGTTGATGTTTCTAATTTTTTGGCAGGTTGATAATTAGCAAGGACTAGTTACTATAAAGTGCAAAAAGATACTACTTGCCTAGTTCCAAATATGTTTTAACTGGGCTTTTTTTTCTAGGCGTTACCCCACGTGAAATACTGAAAATCAGTACCTGACCCGAGTTCTTAATATCTTAATTTGCATTTTGGTCTGAGCATTTACCCCTTCTAGGTAATTTTATGTACATCACCACACTTAATTCTGGCATATGGGTAAAGGATATTTGTGGATATGTGTTGCTATCTCTGAATTAGATACATCAGTCCAATAGTTTTGCCCTAAAGATGTCCTTGATGTCCCTTATGTTAAAGTTCAGACTTAGAGAAACTCTTCTATCTTGATAGGCTATATATAAAGTTCCTGATGAGAGAGTCCTCGTAACTTCAGGTACAAAAGTTGGATATCCAGAGTTTAGGCTGTTGAATATTTTACACTGCCTACATAATCAGTATATCCAAAAAAATTCAGAAGATAATTGCTACATTGGAGCAATTTGAGAAAATGTACACTAATTTATGTAGCTGATCTGCCTGCTGTCTTTGGTACTGACTGTCATTGTGGTGTATTTTATTTTCTGAATGGGACATCCAGCAATGCAGATTTTATTTCACCTTTTGGTTTGCTACTATGTTTATATATTTTTGTTTGTTAGATTTATATTGGTAGTGATGGTGATTCTCTTAACTCCTAAATTGGGACTTCTTTTGTATACATATATTTTAACAGGTATTAGTTGAAGAAGCATCCACTTTATTTTGAGTAATGCAATTTAGTTGCATGCAGTAATTTTGGGTGGTGCGACTACTAAATGAAGAAATCCTTGTTGAAATGTATTAAGGAGTGATTTGAAGAAAAGGGCTGGACATCCCAAGTGTGAGAGCAGCAGCCAAAAAGCTTTCTCAGCTAGAGTGATTTAGTCCAGTGTAGTCTCTGTTCTGTTTTTAGAATTTTATCCCACAATATAAAGCAACATTTTTTTTTCATAGAATTTTTAAATAGCTTAATTATTAGGACTGTTGTCAAATGTGTGGTGATACTGTTTTTAAATAAATCAAAAAAATATTATTACTTAACTGTGAAGAAATGTTGGGTTTCTTTCTTGTATGGCAAAGATGTCTTTGTAAAATCTAATTTATATATATTCATGGCTGATGCCATTCTACTTTCATCTGATGTTGAATAGCTGTTCAACCATCATCTTTTTGGTTCTTCATACTTGACAAAAAGGCATTTGCTATACATTTCATGAGCACATAATGAACAGAATCAGTATGTCTTCAAATGCTAATTTGAGCCATAAGTCAAGTTGATGTTCATTTAGTATTCAAGCTGGAAAATCAGTAAGGATTCTCAGTGGGTGCTACCAGAACCTAAAGAAATACAGATTTTGAAAATATTTTGTGAGCTTGAATATGAGGAGATGCAGGGGGAGGGAGGTAATGGTATATTTCTACAGCTGCTTATGCAGGCAACAGTTCCTGCCAGGAAACCTGCTCCTGCTTGGGCTCCTCTCCATGAGTCACAGCTCCTGCCAGGAGCCTGCTCCAGCACGGGCTCTCCATGGGCTGCAGCTTCCTTCAGGCATCTCCACCTGCTGCAGTGTGGCGTCCTCCACAGGCTTCAGCATGGAGATCTGCTCCATGGTCCTCTGTGGGCTGAAGGGAGACAACCTCTGTCACCATGATCTTCCCCACAGGCTGCAGGGGAATGTCTGCTCCGGGACCTGAAGCACCTCCTCCCCCCCCTTCTTCACTGACCTGTCTGCATTTCACTGTCTGCAGGACTGTTCCACATTTTCTCACTCCTCTTTGCCAGCTGCTGCACAGTGGTTTTTTACCCTTTCTTAAATGCATTATCACAGAGGTACCACCACTGTCACTGATGGGCTCAGTCTTGGGCAGCAGCAGGACCTTTTTGGAGCCAGCTGGAACCAGCTGTGTCTGACTTGGGGTCAGCTCCTGGTGTCTCCTCACAGAGGCCATCCAAGCAGCCCCCTTGCTACAAAAACCTTGCTGTGTAAACTCAATATACTGGCCTACTTCTCCCCCTGCCCCATCCCAGATTTCCCACTGCAGCTTTCTTGGTCTTGCTCACTCCGCTGGCAGTAAGATGGCAGTAAGAAAGTGAATGTATGTAAGGCCCCGTGCCATCACTGTTCTGTCAACAAGATCGTTCTGAACAGGGTTTGTTTACACGATGGCTTCTGTACAGTATTTGATTTATATTAGAGTGCTCTCTTGCCATAACATATATGACTGAACTAGTAGTAATGCAACAGTGGGAACCAATTAAAGAATCGCTAAAGGAATTCCAACTACAGCTCCGATTTATAACAGCAGTGACCTAGAAATACACTTCAGTGGTTGATTAAACATGGGGACATTAATAGTTAGAATTTTTTTTTATCCATATAGAGGTGTGAAAGGGCATGCCATAATTCTTATTTTTATAATCATTATGGACTATCTGTGAGATGCTTCCAATGGTTTTTAGCTGTAGGAGGGTGTGAAAAGTTTAAAACTATGCAGAACACAGGTAGGCAGTTTTTTAAAAGCTGCTTAAGTATGCTCTCATCAAGTTAAATTGTATCTAAATAAAATGGCTTTAATTGCCAAAGGTCTGCATAAAATAAAACCCTTTTGTCTGAAAAGGTTCAGTTTTTGATTAGAATATATCATTTCTCATGACATGTTTTCAAAGACCTTGAATTGGTTCAAAATCAAGCTTATTTTAATTTCTTCAGTACTCTACCCTCATTTTTTGTTCCCTTTCTTCTGTTACAGTGGAACATATCACTCCAGAGATGAAAGCACAGATAGTGGACTTAGCATGAGCAGTTATAGTGTACCCAGAACCCCCGATGACTTCCTGAACAGTGTTGATGAGATGGATACAGGTCTGTTTTCGTGTACATCCTTAATGCATGTTTTCCAAATATACTTGTGTCCATTTGCAATGAAAACAAGTCTGAGAAGCTCTGATACTTTTCACGATGTTTTTCTACCTCCTTCTGTTTCTGTAATAGAAATATTATAGATTTGTGAAAAATGTACTTGTAATCAGCTCTATATTGGGAGGATGGAGGATTGCTCATAAATAGTACCAATCCTGTTGTTGCATGGAATTTTAGTGTCCAATTGCTTTTTTAAGGAATATTGTTTGTTCAGAGCTAAGAATAGGACCTCATCCAGTGTTGCTAATACTGCTCCAAAACAGTATCGGTCTTTTTCCGTTAAGCATACAAGTTAAAATATGCTAAATGACATCAAAGATCTGCAGAGAATTGGGTCAGTAGGTGAAAATGTTGAAACAAAGGCATGTTCTTTGTACATCTACATGCAGTCATCTTTGGTTTTTGTGATGGATTTCTATGAATCATATTGCTTGTGTGATGCAAGAGATACAGGATTAACCTTTAACCACTTGTCCTGATAAATTGTGGGTTTGGTACTTCCAGTATATTTAATATCCTTCTTGCTTTGTGTTATAACTAGGTGACAGTATCAGCCAAAGTAACATACCGTCCCATCAGAACCGTTTCCCAGACTACCTTGAAGCCATTCCAGGGACAAATGTGGACCTTGGGACACTGGAAGGAGATGGGATGAATATAGAAGGAGAAGAACTGATGCCAAGTCTGCAAGAGGCTTTAAGCTCTGACATCCTTAATGACATGGAATCTGTCTTGGCAGCCACCAAGCTAGATAAAGAGAGTTTTCTTACTTGGTTATAGGGGCCTCAGGGAGACTGAATTCTAAATCTGTGAAGGATCTAAGGAGAATAGGACATCTGTATCTGAAGTTCAGAACAAGCCAGTGTGGCACACTTTGGCTTGTGTTCAGAAAAAGTAAATGAACAAATAATCAACAAGATTCTTTCGTTTTGCTCTTCCTTGTCCATCGCTGCTGTTATATATTGCTGACTTTTTTCCACAGTTGACTCTGAAGAACAGACATCTTCTTGATCTTTTTCTATTGCTGTTGCAACTACTGTTCAAGGGGGGTGGGGAGGGATGATGAGCCTATTTGGATGACGAATGCCATTCCTTTTGTCCTAGTGTGCGCTTGCATTACCATTTTATCTAAGTACTCAGATTTGAAAGTTAATTTCTGCATGTCACTGCTTGTAGTTTGCTCAGCTAGTTGTCTCCTGTTGCCTGTGGCAAGTGGTAAAACATGACATACTGGGGTGACAAGCCAAAAATGATGTATCTGGTCAAAAGAAGTCAATACTGATTTGGAGATATGACTTAAAGGAGGGCTGAAGACTGTTTGGCATTAAGTGTTTCTACTAGTAGCTCTTTCATTAGTCACAAAGTGCTCTTGTTCATATTTTATGTTATAGTAAATCATGAGTCATTTTACATAGAAGCATATATGAACTTTGATTGTTGCCACATATCCTAGCCTAACTTTTGTTTGTCAAAAATAGTTTTATTATTTTTGTTAGTTGGTTTAACTGTAGCTGTAGGATGGGAATTAATTATAGGTGTTTGGGGTTTTTTTTTTAATAGTGAAATCTAAGGGTTTTTTCTGATTTCACATAGTCTTATTTAAATCTGAATTGTCTGCTTTTTTATACTTAAAACATGCCTATTGTAGCCTGATAAGCTAGTGAGTACATAAACCAGTATGTTGTGCCTGTAACTTTTTTATTTTTTTTAAAGGCTAGCTTTGAATGTAATCATTAGAATTCATGACCAGTGGCTTATTTTTCATGTTTATTTGCAAGATTTTGAATTAGAATCTGATTGCAGCAGTGTAAAAGTTAGAAATCTAAGTGTTGTATGTACAATTTTTAAATGCATTTTAAAGTAGCAGAAACCATTTTAAAATTGCAGATGCATCTAATCTCTCTTCTGGTTTTCAGTTTTGATATCTAAGCAAGTTTAGATTTAAAAATCTTTAATGGGAAAAAACTTTATTAAAAGTTTCTCTTAAGTTAGCATGGAAAAAGAGAACTATTAATATCACTCTAAGTTGCAATGAAAAGGCTAGAACACCAAAAAAAAAAAAATCTTCAACGAACACTCCTACATCTAATAATTATCAAATTCTGTTTGGTGAAAAATAAGCCCTGGACACTATATGTAGAAGAATGTAAAGATATGTGTTAGACGGTGACATGAGCAGGTAATGAAGTGTATATTAGTAGTAGAGCTTAGCATGGGGTAGAGGTGAATATGAATTATCTTTATTTTAACAGGAAAAGATGTATCACTAAGTTGTCTGCAGGAGTTGACACAGTTTCCAAAGAGTATTTTTAAATGAACAAAATGAGCATGAATCAAACTTTCAGTATAAGCTATGAAGTTTTGTGGGGCTTTTTTTTTTTGGGGTTTTTTTTTTTTTTTTTTTTTTTCTGATGAAAAATAGTGTCACCAGTTAACACCTCTATAATTAAGGGCCTGTCACCATTCTCAGCATGAGCCTTTATTTTCAAGGGTGTATAGCATGACTATAATGATACTGTAAGCGTGAAACTTGGGTTTGAAAAAAATCTCAGCTAGCAGGGACTTCTCCTGGGGAGAGATTTTTTTTTTTTTAATTAAAAAAACCATTATTTTTCAAGTTAGGAATGAATCAGCAAAGCAAAACAAAACAAACCCCATATTATTACTATTATTATTATTATTATTATTTGGGGTTTTTTAAGCTTCAGAAATAGTTCTGGTTTAGGATAATGTAAAGAATGAAAACTCTAAACCAAGTCTCATTTTAAAAACTGAAGCCTCAGAGGCAGAGATTTGAAATTTACCACTATAAATGGACATTTACTACTTTACCTAAGGATATTAGTGTTTGAAATACAAAAAAATTGTTTGTGGCTTGTTATGGGATACAGGCAGGTTTTAAAATAACAATTTTCAAAAGACATCCACAATGACAAATATATTCTGCTACACCAATAATTCAGTGATTAATAGGCCACTTATATTGTGCAATGACACAGTAGCTCCTAAAGCAGTGTATTGTGTCCAAGATAGGGATTTTAGTAGCATTTTTACAATTCTTCTCTCTTCCTCCCTTCAGGAAAAAAAAGACACTAAGTTGTTATAACTTGAATGGTCTGACATAAAACCACAACAGCAAGGAAATTCAGAGTTGATTCCATTTCAGTTGTCTTCCACGGTTGTATCCAGGTATAATAGCACATACGATGCACTGAGTGCAAACTCCTGACATGCCGTACCTTTCTACAACAGGGATGAGTACAGATCAGTTTTTCTTTCCTTGCTTTTGTGTGTTTGTCACAGCTTTAATATTTGAATGTTTTCTTCTCATTGTAGAAACACTAAATGGCTTATACTGTATTTGGGTAGCACTGCTTAGGGTAGATACTGACAAACTGGGAATCCTTGAACTGCTCTAACATTAATTATGTTTTGTGATACTTATTTTAATTGATTTTAATACATTTCCGTTCTCTCATTTATTAGGAAACATACCATAGAGATGCTCTACTGTTGGCAATCAACATTATTTTTTTTTTTTTTTTTTAATTCTGCAAATGCATTTTTTGATGAAGTGGTTAAAATTGTTTGAAATGCAAAAGTGTTTTGGGTAGTATTTTATACTGATGTATATATTGAAACAGAAATCATTGTAATAATTGTAATAGCTTTTAGTTATAAATACACTACATGCAGACAGATGGGGCTGTACAGTACTGTGCTGTTCAACACCTGGGCAGGGCTACTGCTTGAAAAGAGGTTGCAGTGTCAGTAAACCATATGGATCAAATATTGTACCATTCAGTGTTGGCGCTCACCAATGCAAAAGGAGAAGAGACTATTTCAACATGATTAACACTACATAGCTTTCACACATCTGGTAAATTAGTACTAAAGTGACATTTTCACTTACAAGCTTGTTTTTTATACAAATTAACAGGTGTGCCTGTGTAAAATAATTTGTTTTCTGTATCTTGGAAAAAATACTCTCCACATTTAGAATGTTGTATGTTAGAGAACTCTTAAATGCACCCTTGTCAAAATTATATATATTAGTTACCAATGTTACTTTTAGATATGAGCATGACTGTAAGTTAGGTACTTAAGTACGTTCTGTTACATTATTTTTCTTTATGTAATACTTTTTCAGTTGTTTTATTTGGTATAAATATATACTTTGTGCTTAAACATCTTTCTTTGTTTTTAACATTCAATAGTATGTAAAGATACTGATTTCCTTCAGTAAGATGGATGCATTGAATTGTTGGAATTCCTGTTGTATGTCTGTTCTTGTCCCCCTTGTCACTGCTTTTCTAGTCATAAACTCCAGTCCTGCAAACATTCTGTACAAGCTCACCTAAGAGACAGAGTCGTCCCACTGATGTCAGTGAAGGCTTAACATTAAAGTATACATCTCTGTGTGTTTGCAATAATGAAGAGACAGTGACTGACCCTCATACAGTCTGTGTAAAACAACACTGTAATTGCATATAGCACTATAGTGAGAGCTGGTAACAGAATGTCTGTTATCTACGATGAGAAAGCATCCACTTTTTGCAGATATGCTTGCAATGTTCAGGATCTTCCCACGTAGCAGATACATTTTTGGCTAATTCTAAGTTTATACAATAATTTGTGGCAGACTATCAATAAAGGCACACTATTTTCATTTCCAAGTTTTGACTTATGAATTGTGAAATATGTAATGACATACCTTGAAAGTGTCTGAAGATGTCAGTTTAAAAAATCTTGACAGGATTCATTAATTCTGACCTTCTGTAAAACAGAAATTGTGAAAGGTGTTTTTTTAATGTCACGCAATTTGTGATGGCTGAAGTAATACACTATTTGCATTTTAGCAGTTCCAGAGTTACTACTGTTCAGCACTGAAATGCCTCAACCCTCTGAAATGCAGTGCAGTTGTGTATTTTCTTAGTTAAAGGTCCAGGGCTCAATGCTTCCATCAGTTTGTCTTTTACTCATGAGTTCATAACTAGATTTAGTCACTCAGATCATTTGAATTTAAACCTCACATCACACCTTGCACCTGGGAGTAGAAAACCAGTGCTGGGGCATTGACAAAACACCAGTTTTATTTGCTGATATCACTCTCTTCCGTTTATAAGGTGGTGACACATTGCAGTGGTTCTGCAGGTAGCTCTCAATAGACTGTATTATAGCAAAGCAGGATATCTGGTCCAGGTGTTCTGGGCTCGCTTGGCAATTCTTTTTGTAGTATTTTCAACACTTAGTTAAAAAGTATTGGTTTCATAAAGCCAGATATAATATGCTTCCAAGGAAGCTTTCAGTCTTCCCTATGCTAAAGTGCAAGTTAGCAGCAAAAAAAGTGTTTTTCACCTGGGATCATTAACAAAACAGTTATTGAAGATCAGGCTATGATCTATCTAGCACCTCCTATTCTGGAGGTTTATTCAGAGATAAAGTGGGACCATCAATTTTATTTACCATATCAGCATCCACAGTTTATATGTTCCTTCCTGTTGAAGAGTAAAGGTGTGCTTCTTGCCCCTTGTCATCACTGCTCGTTATTGCTAACTGTAGTTATCCACACCCTCTAAATTTAGATGTCATCAGAAGAGGAAGACATCTGTACAGCATGAGAAATCTTGGTTGACGTGAAATGATAAAACCAACACTAACTGAAGAACCAAATTGTCTTTAGAATATAGGGTAGAGCTTTGTACCAGCTACCATATCCAGTACTTAATGTCTCTTAAAAAAGCCAGTATGTTTTACTCAAAAGAGATTGAGGAAGCATGTTGAATGAGAAACTTGTAACTACCAATACATCTGACAAAGCTGCCTAATATTTTTTTTGTGGAAAACGCGTGATTTTTACTTTTCCTGACATATTCCTCTCTCTAATGCAGAGGTTGTAACAACGAAATGCTGATGTGTAGGCTGTTACTGACTGGTGTTATTTTCTCTATATGTGAATGAGGTTGTCACTCTGATGATAGTATTTTATGTATTAAACAGGCATGTATTACAACATGAGAGGCAAAGTAATTTTACTGTATTTTCCTGTCTTTTTATTAGCAAGTGATTTTAAAAAAAAGATAGGGGTGGGGGTGGGGTGTGTCAGGAGTAGCCCAAGAGGCTTACTCTCCAATGTTACGCAACAACAAAATAGAACTCCATAAAAACAGGATGTCAGATCTCACCTGAAATGGCCTTTTTCCCTTCTCCCATATATGTTATTTCTGAGTATTCTAGTGTGCTTTAAATTATTTATCATATTTACCACCTTTCTCCTTGTCCCGTATATGTTATATCTGTTTTTTCTGAGTACTCTAGTGTGTTTTAAATTACTTATTTACCATCTGAGTTTTGCTTGCCTAACTCCTGAAGACTGTAGTGCTACGTGCTGTTCATCCCCAAAGGAGAGCAGAGTTCCTTCTCTCCAAAATTCAGGTGTCATCCTGTTTAAAGTTATAATGTAATGCAGAAATTGCAGTCTGACTCCAACCATGCTGACCTGCTACTGTTACAGGATGGTTATTGGCAAGCATGATTTTTTGAATGATGGTAAATCCCTGTTCTGGTTTGAATTCTGAGAGATTGGAAGAGTTCCAGCTTTCCTATTTCATTGCTTTGATTTCTGCAGCCAGTTGTCATAGCAGGGGCACAGAGTCCTCCCCACGCCAGTGCCACCGTGCCTGCTGGAGGGCTCCTAACCAGCACTTCAACCTGATGTAACAGTGATTTTTTTTCTTAAAGCTGACAGTTTTATTCAGTTTGTCACTCATAGTTTCATTGTTAGGCATGCAAATACAATTGTCTCAGCTCTTGACTGACAAGTGACCCTTTCAGACTTCACCAAGCGATACAATCCTTTCATACCCATCATCTGCTGTTGAAGAGTGTGACCCAGAGGCCTCTGAGAGCTTCAGCTGTAATTCTGGACTTTCAAAGTCTACAGCTGAAACGAGATACTAGTTATGTGTGTGTATGACAAAATCCCAGACCCACGCTTCCCAGAAACTGCATGATTTAGGTGGTGATACCTCACAGCAGACGGCAGTAACCGAGATGCCTTCTGGTTAGGCCAGTGGCCTTCAGCCTATGGTCTGCAGGCTGCAAGGGGCTATGGATGTCTGTTTAG